TAACAATATCAAAATCACAGAGTGTAATTTCCGGAATTGATGATATAAGAAAAGGAAAGATACCATTTGGTCGTATTGGTATCGTTGTCGGTTCAGCTGTTGAACAGTATTATTTACGAGAAATCTCTGACGAAAATCGAAATTATTATCCATTAAACTCACAAAAAGAGATATATAGCAAACTACTGAGTGGTGTTATTGATGCAGCTATTTCAGATACCGGTCTTTTACAATATGCAACTAACCAATTATATTGCAATTTAACGATTGTTGGTGAAGATTTTGATAAAAGTTCATATGGTATTGCTATGCCACAACAATGGCTTTATGAGCAAGAGTTAGATGTGAATATAACATCACTACAAGAGTCAGGTGCTATTGATGACTTGACCACAAAATGGTTTGAAACAAGTAATTGTCCTGATCCATCTGTTATATCTACCAGTATAGGCATTGAAGCAATGGGTGGTTTATTTATTATCTTTGCAGCCATCAGTGTTCTATCACTATTATTATTCTTGTGGACCCAACGGTTGAGCATAAAAGATTATCTACTGACATCAGCATGTCGAAAGAAGCCATCAGCCCAACCAGATGCCTCGCTCGACCAAAGCTTCATGAAAATATCTACAGAACTCCCGATCAGTACTGTAGCCCCATCCTTACCCTCATCCTCCGCCAGAAACCATCTTTATTTCCAGACTGAATTTTGACTTCTAATAATGTATAATGCGCTAGTAATCAATACCGTCAAATCCAACTTTAAACTCAAAACTAATATGTGCATCGGATTCCTCGTGGTCAATTCTATCCAGAAATCTCACTTTTGGTTTTCCGCATCGCTCCTGTACGCCCGCTGAAGGCTACTTTTCACAAGCACTACGGCACTTATTTGATTTTTGATGGTACCCCAAGCGGTTTTTAACCATATTTTCCCCATTTTTGTTGATCGCAATGCACATTTTCGGGCTCTACACCTCTTGAAACATATGAATCAACTGAGATCTCAATACTTTATCTCCGGTTTCTGTGGTATAGGTCTCCGAAGATCCGAGTTTTCCAGAAAAGTTCCCAATTGCAAACTACATCGAAAATTTCTTTTAATATACTTAAGTATATAGAACGTTCCTTTCTCTACAAAATGACGTATCTTCTACGTTTAAGATGCACGTAAGGCAAAGATTGAGCAGAATTTAGTTTTCTATATTTTACACACCATTCGATAGAGAATCGCGCGCTGATCACGAATATGTGTTCCCGGCCTCTCAGAACCGTTTCCTCGCTGAGAAAATTGTAAAAACACTATGAAGAGGTCAAAAACCCGGTTTTTCACGCCTTTTTTTAAGTTTGAGTTTCTAAGTTTGGTTACAATTTGGAACGTTCAAACTCAGATATTCTTGTTCAGCGTTGAAAAGTGAACTAGAATATGGAATAAAAGCCTTTATATATCTAAACGCCTATTCGCCAAAGACGTTAAAAGCGAAGCGACTAAAAAACAGGTCTGAGTTTAAAAAAATTTGGTTTTCCTCGAAATTCGACTATCGGCTTGAGCATCGTATTGTATGTCTGATCCGTTTTTCGACGGACAAAACGGACAAAAGATGTTTGTCCGTTGAAAAACGGATCAGACATACAATACGATGCTCAAGCCGATAGTCGAATTTCGAGGAAGAACAAATTTTTTTAAACTGTTAAGACGTTTTTGGCGATGCCTTCAGGCTTACGAAGACGGACAGGAGTATGCTCAGGTTACGAAGATGTTCTTTAGTACCAAATGTGAAGGAACAGTTCAAAGTCACACACGAATCAGCAACAGCAATTTAGATGTTTAACTTGTGTTTTGGAAAGTGTTATTTTGTGTCATCTGTTGCTTAGTTTTCCTTGTTCTGTTTGGTTTATGGTATAATTGTGTTGATAGACACCAGAATATAATTGTTCAGAAAGAAGCAAGTTATTTACAGCTAGAGTGCGAACTTTCCAGTAAAAGAACACAGAATTGGTCATTTTTACCTTCGAAACCAGTCAAAACCCCTCGAAAGGTTCACTGCAGACCCTCCAGAAACGCTCTCGAGATCTCGACAGTGTGTCTATCGCATTCTCCATGGTTTCTAACCTATTTAAACTTGAAAAAATACCCAAAATCGATTTGGCCGTTTTAGTATGATGTCCAGTAAAATCGACTTTTCTCGACGAGCGAATGGAATTTTGATAAAAGCGAGCCGTTATTTTTGAAGAGGAGCATCCGGCGAATCTAATTATGTAAAAATATTGACTT